AAAAAAAAAAAAAAAAAAAAAAAAAAAAAGAAAAAAAGAAAAAGAAAAAGAAAAGAGAGAGGAAAAAAAAAACATTGAGCTCATGAATGGATTAGTGCTGGTATCATGGCAGTGGGTCAGTTATGGTGGCAGTTGTTTCCTGCTAAAAGGATGAGCTTGTCCACTGTACTGCCCTATGATGCAGCAAGAAGGCCCTCATCAGATGCCAGTAGTCCCTAGATCTTAGACTTCATGGCATCCAGAAGTCTAGGAAATAAATCTTTGATCTTTATATATTTCCCAACCTCAGGTATTCTGTTATAGCAGCATAAAACATATTAAGACATTACCATTGTTTGAATGTTTTCCAAAATTCAAGTTGAAATTTAATCCCCATTATAGATAGTAAGAAATAAAACCAGGAATGACCATTAAGAAGGAATTAAGTCATGAGGTCTCTGCACTCATGAGTAGACTGATCCATTCACAGATTAATGGGTTAAGGGTAATCTCCAGAATGTATCTCTTACAAAAGTCAATTTGACTCTGTCTCTAGCATCATGACTTTGATCAAATAATCAACCTTGTCACTACGGTCACATCTTATATACTAACCGCTGGCATGAGTATCAAAGGACACATTTCTAGCTCTCCTGAAACCCGGAATACTTTGCTTCCTTTATGTGTTAGCGTTTACACGGGGATGGAATCAATCTCTCTCTCATTACTTTCTCTTTTTAAGAATTAGTTTAGGGCTGGGGATTTAGCTCAGTGGTTCCACTGCCTTGTTTGATCCTTGGTATCAAAATAAATAAATAAAAACATTAATTTAAATGTGTTTCTTCATGGCTGAGTGAAACATCATACTGCACCACCTATAATTGTTAAGAACCTAAATGACATAGCTTTCTAGGTTGAAATCCTGATTCTGCTACTTATGCCAAAGAAGCTACTGAGCAGAAGCTATTTCTGCTACTTCTACTTTTTGACCTTAGGCAAAAAACCTTGCATCTAGACTTCCTAATCTGGAAAGTGGAGATGACAATTTTAACTGCTTTATGAAGGCTGTGGTGAATAAATTAGGAGTAATGCATTTATAGCCCCTAAGAATAGAGCCCAATAAATAAGCACTTGAAATATTCTTCCCCCTTATTTCTTGCCTTCTGGTTTTCCCTTTTGTTTCTTATCAAACCTTCTCTTTCTTTTTAATAGCAAAAAAACATTTATTGGTACATTTTAGGCATATGTAGGATAACACTCATCATTGGGAATTTGCACCTGTACATGGTACATCCCTTTTCCCCCCTTACCCTCTCCATTTTGTACACTGTACTGTACACAGTGCTGTACATTGTATTAAAATATAGCACAAATAAATTGACTTCCACCTTGATGACACATTTATCCCATTTAAATGAGTAGTCAAAAAATGCAAAACTGGTGAGGAATTTTCATCTTCAGGTTCCTCAATTCCATGAATGACAATATCATTTAACAATTCACAAAATCTTTTCAGCATTTTAGTCCAGCTTAGCCACCTCACTTCAAAAAAATGATGTCCCCATAATCAGCATCCTTACTCTTAAGGAACTTGTGGAATTGGTGATTTGATCCCTAGGACCTCGTGAAATTCTCAGCTTTGATGATTTGCATAACGTCTTTTTGTTTTTTTGAGACAGGGTCTTCCTAAATAGTTCAGGCTAGTCTTGAACGCATTATTTGAACTCATGGGATTCTCCTGCCTCAACCTCCTGAGTACTGGGATTATAGGTATGCACCACCATGCCTAGCTCCCATAACATCCATTTTTAAACCTTGAATTTCCTTTATGTATGATGCAGCACTATTTTATTAAATACAACTTGCCAGCAATAATTGCATCATCTCTTATTAATTTAGAAATACCTTTTTTTTTTTGGTACCAGGGATTGAACTCAGGACCTTGCACTTGTAAGGCAGGCAGTGAAACCACTGAGCTAAATCCTCAGCCCTTCTTTTTTTTTTGAGACAAGGTTTCACTCTGTAGTTCAGGCTAGCCTTGAATTCATTATGTAGCCAAGGCTAGCCTCAAACTTGCAGTGATCTTTCTGCCTCAGCCTCCTGAGTGATGGGATTATAGACATGTACCAACACATCCAGTTTAAATCCCTCTTCTTTACCAACCATCACAGAGTACCACTATGGCTACACCAGATATGTTAATGGTTTGAAGAAAGTCACTTATTTCTACTGCTTCATACAAATTAAGAGATTTAGCTGTTTTTGTTTTGTTTTTGGTACTGGGGATCAAACTTGGAACCTTGCACTTGTGAGGAGGGCGGCGGCACCACTGAGCTAAATTCCCAGCCCTTAGCTGTATTTTAATGGCATCAAAGAAACCATTTCTTCAGTGAAACTATATTCATAATCTATAATACTAATTAAAAAGAGCAAGTTGAACCATATCTGTCATGTCAGCACTTTCATCTATTGCCAAAGAATAAAGTTTGAAATCAGCAGCTTCATGCTTATTTCAGTAGGTTTTTCCCCATTTCCTCAATTCATCTGGCTATAGTCTGGTGAGACAAACCGATTTAGAAAAATTAAGCAGGGTGTTATTTCTCTCAATAAAAAAGTATTCATCCATTTTTCACTTAAGACTCTTCCTTCTTCCATTTTTCTTTTTTTAGGTTGTTTTCTTTTGAGATGATGAAGAAACCATTCTGTGATTCAAGCATGCAGAGAGGTTGAAGCAGGAGGATCATAAATTCAAGACCAGGCGGGCAACTTAGCAAGACCCTGGGGCTCCAACTTGGCTCTTTGAGTCCCGCACCACCCACCTCACCCCAAGGTCTCTGGTGGCCACTGGAGTCTTTGGGTGACTGAAGTGCTGGCAGTCAAGGTTTGTATACCATCACCATGGAAACCACAGCTGGATGTGTGGAGCAGGACGTCTGCCATCAATCGCCTGCCATCAATAGAGGCACTTCCGGCCCCCGGCCCCTAGAAGAACCTGATAGCCCCTCACCTTACCCACTGCCATTGCCAGTGTGACCAAGGGGGAGTGGGGGCAGGCTCCCTGAATCCCACCTTCCTCTCCACCCTGTTCTCTTGTCAGATGAACAGGTAAATGTATCTGGATTGGAATGAATATTCAAAGTTTAAGAATGAGGTTATTTTCTCTAAACTCAAGTCCTTTCATAATTTTGGACAAAGAATATTTTAACAAACCAGAAGTTAGATCATTTATTTCTAACAGTTTGTATATTGTGTGGGTTAGGATCAGTTATATAACCTCTTGTAGTAAGTGGATTATCTACTTAAATATAATAATACAAGTATTACCTCAGAATAGTTTCACAAGGCTTAAACATGAAAATATAAAAGTGCACTGATTAAAGCACAATTAAAAAGGATGTGGTATTAACATATTTTTATTTTTAGATATTAAAAGCATTATTTCTTTATTAATTCAAGCACACAGGGCTGGGGATTTAGTTCAGCGGTTTGGTGGCCTGCCTTGCAAGTGCAAAGTTTTGGTACCAAGTTCAATCTCCGGTACCAAGTTCAATCTCTGTTACCAAAAAAAAAAACAAACCAAGCACACTTACCTGAGGGTCTCCTGGATTGGTGTACACCTATTTGAAAATAATTTACAATTGAATTACTGAGATTAAGGACTGAGGAATAAGTAAATTGGATATTTAGACTAACATATTAAGTGAACTCAGCAGAACAAAACAAAAACAAAATAACCCCAAGATATTAGATTATTACTTTTTCCCCACTGAGCAGATCAACTGTTTGAATAAAGTGACATAATCAACTGATAATTGGACTATCATTTTATGAAGAAAGGCTGAATCTAATAATCTTTAAAAATATATACAACTATAGGGCTGGGAAGGTAGCTCAGAGGCACAGCATCTGCCTGGCAGGCATGAGGCTGTGAGTTCAATTCTACATACTCCCCCAATAAATAAAATAAAATATATACAGTTTAAAAGTACTTACAGCTAGAATGACCATCCTTAGCTGAAATAAAACAAAGAACAAAAATTCTATTTTATTCTATAAAAGTTTTTCATTATGAATCATAAAAGATTATTTGTCCTATTTTAGGGGCTAGGGATGTAGCTGAGTGACAGAGCACATGCTTAGCACAAACAACACTCTGGGGTCAATCCCTTGCACCCTCCCAAGGAAAATTCTTTGTTCTTTTTCAATATCTATTCTTTTTTTTTTTTTTTTTCAGTACTAGGGATGAACTCAGGACCTTACACTTGCGAGGCAGGTACAGGGCCGCTGAGCTAAAACCCCAGCTCCCAACATTTATTCTTGTTTTCCTTCTTTTTTTAGGGGGGGTACTAGGGATTGAACTTCAGACCTTGAGCTTCTGAGGCAGGCAACAGCACCACTAAGCTAAATCCCTGGCCTTCAACATTTCTTTATTTATTTATTTGTTTGTGGTACTGCGAATCAAACTCAGGACCCTGTGCTTGCAAGGCATGTGGAAGCACCACTCAGCTAAATCCCCAGCCCAACATTTGTTCTTTTTAACTTCTTTTTTGTTACCAGGGACTGAACTCAGGACCTTGCACTTGCGAGGCAGGTGGTGGAACCACTGAGCTAAATCCCCGGCCTCCAATATTTTAAAAAAATCTTTTCGGTACAGGGGATCAAACTCAGGACCGTGCACATCCCTGGCCCTTTAAATAACAAATAATTGTAGAGAACAGACTTTATATCACTGCCTGTAAGTCAATACTTTATATATGGTATGATTCCCTATTCCCCCAAATCCCAATTCTATTTGACTTATTAATGGCTGAAATTCATGTCAGCAGTTTACTTCTTTGATTTAAACAAAGAATATTATTGTCAGTTTCAAGGAAAATAAATATATTGTGAAGTAACATATTAAACATTATCAATATGAAACATGGTTTTGAAAAAAGAAAAAGTACGGAGCTTGGGACTGTATGCATTTAACAAAGGAAACAGGCACTGGACATCATAGGAACAGAAAATCATCATGTAAGTGATCTGCCAAAAATCTAGTCATCCTTGAAGTTCCAATTTTTTCCCTTATATCCCATAACCAATACATCAACAAATGCAATCGTTTCTATTGCTAACCCTAACCTGAATCTCACCCTCCACCATCGTGCTCTAACCCATCACTACTTCTCAGGCCACTAAAGGAAAGGCCTAAGAACTATTCCTCTTACTTCCAATCTTATTTCATTTCTTTTTTTTTTTTTTTGAGACAGGGTTTCACCATGTAGTTCAGGCTGGTCTTAAACTCACAGATGTGAGTTAGCACAAGATGGCCTTGAACTCACAGCAATCCTCCTGCCTCAGCTTCACAAATGCTGGGATTATAGGCCTGTGCTACCACACTCAGCATCCAATCTTATTTTCCTTTCACAGTATATTCTCTAAATAGCATGGAAAGTGATTTTTAAAAAATTTTTAAACATAAGTCAAATGATGCTTTTCTATTTGTAACTTTCAAATGGCTTTTCTTTGCACCTGAAATAAAATCCAACCTTCTTACCTATACAGCACTAAATATAGCACCACACAACTGCACAACTACTCTCAATGTGTAACAGCCTTAGTTGTACTTCCAGAACTCTCTAAACTCCTCTACAGCTCTTATGCTCTGCTGAGAATATTCTCTCCCTAAACAAATACTTGGCTGGTTTCTTCTCATTCATGTCTCAGCTTAAATATCGTCTCTTCAGAAAATCTCCTCTGACCATCTCATTTAAAATTAACCCACCACTCCATATATCATATACTTTTCCTACAAATTTTAACAGCATCTAACATTACTGGGAAGTAACCAATTGTTTTACTATTTTCTTACATTAGATGGGAACCCCTTTGTTATACTGACCACTGTTATCTTACTCTGTTCCTACCTTGAGAACATGCCTAGCACATAGCAGGCATTAAGTTTTTTTGTTGTTGTTTTGGTACTGGGGATCAAACTCAAGACCTTGAGCTTACAAGGCAGGCGCTTTGCCACTGAGCTCAGTATTTATTATGCCTTAAAATAAGGAAGATTAGGAACTACAGATATTCATCTTCATAACTTTGCTAGAACTGGACTTCTTTATACATGTATAAAATTACACTAAATAGGAAAAGGGCTGATAGTCTATTATAAAACCTTAATTTCACTAATTCAGAATTTGAGAAAATTAAACCTAGACTACATAGAAATTTATTTTTGAGGGCCAGGATTTAGCTCAGTGGTTCTGCTGCCTGCCTTGCAAGAATAAGGGCCTGAATTCGATCCCCGGTACCAAAAAAAAAAAAAAATTATTTTTGAGGTGAGCATGGTGGCGCACACCTGTAATCCCAGCATTCGGGAAGCAGAGGGAGGAGAATCACTGTGAGTTCGGAGGCCAGCCTGGGATACATAGTGACTTCAAGGTCAGCCTGAACTACTTAAGAAGACCTTGTCTCAAATAAAAAAAGAGGGCCAGGGATTTAGCTCAGTGATTCTGCTGCTTGCCTTTATCCCCAGTACCAAACAAACAAACAAACAAACCAAAAAAAAGAAAATTTATTTTTGAATCCTAATTAAAAATAATTTATTGTTATTAATACAAGAAAGATTATAGAAGGCATGTAAAACTAATGGATGTATTTTTTAAAGCCCATACGTGCTATCAATATCAGAGAACATTAAAAAAAACTATCTTGGCAAATGTGTTTAGTACCGATTCCAACACTTTAAATGAATTGAAGATTAATCTTTAAAATATTAAAATGTTCAGAGTTTTCAGTAACACAAACTGGCCTATGTTTAATGCTTTACAACATGTTAATCACTATAAAGTATAGGAAAACGATAAAGAGATATTAACTTACATATTTTTTCTGTAGAGCATCATAGCATCCTAACATCCTAAAAAAAATATATCAAAGATTCATTTTTAGTTTTTTTTTGTACTGGGGTTTGAACTCAGGACCTTGTACTTGTTAGGCAGGAGCAGTGCCACTGAGCTAAATCCCTGGCCCAATAATTTTCTATTTTTAAGTATTTTTCCTTACCATTTTACTAACTGTGTAGATCCTGGACAATTTTTATCTTCTCTCAGAATCTTGACACAAAGATCTAAAAGACAAATACAGAGTTATTTAAGAATAGTAAACAACTAGAAATTTTAAATGAAGATTATTTTCTTCAGCTGTGTACTACAGGTATATTATTAATGGCAAGGAAATTCCAAATGATTGATTATTATTATTTTTTTTAATGGTACCGGGGATCAAACTTGGGACCTTGTGTTTGCAAGGCAGGCAGTGGCACCACTCCCCAGCCCATGATTGATATTATTAATGTAATGAAAGGAAGAAAGGTTATATGGAAATAGTCTTTTTATCCTTTTTTAAAATGTCATTATAATGAATAAGATTATATTGATAAGTAGAAAATTTTTCATTTAAAATTATAAGTTAAAGAGTATTAGATTTAATGCTTTTATCTATCGTTATCCAAGAGTCTTAGAACATTTGTTACCCCAGAAAAATACTTATAATTGCCAAGAAGTTAACTATCTGTCAGAGAACTCTGCAAGGAAGCAAGATGTCATGCAATGAATGGAGAGCATCTCCTGACCTCAGGTTTCTTATTTAAAAAATAGGGCAACACCTGCTTCACAGAACTATAATATGAATTAACAAGATAGTGTCCATAACAGTACTTAACAAACTGCCCAGTACAGAGTCGCTGCACAATATTATACATATATTATATGCTGAGAAATAAGCTATTATTGCATTATAAACCAGCTGTATTATTTTACTTCCTTGAAATAGCACAAGAACATATGCTACCACTGTACAAAGTCATAACAGAATATTTGTACCTGTTTAATCACTAAAAGTATGTCAGGTGAAATTATATTTGAGAAACAATTTAAAATAAGTGCACTTAAAGGTATTAAATATACTTTTTTAGATTTGTTTATTTAGTAGCACTGGTGACTAAACACAGGGCTTTGCACTGATGTGTATCTCTAGGCCTTTAAACATTTTTTTGAGACAGGCTCTTGCTAAGTTTCTACATTTTTTAGGATGTGCTCAAACTTGTAATTCTCCTGCTTCAGCCTTCCAAAAAGCTAGGATTCCAGATGTGTGCCAGTTCACTCAGCTAAGTATCTTTTTTAAAATGCAGAGAGCTAAAGATGTAGCTCAATGGTACAGTACTTGGCTAGCATGCGATCCCCGGCACCTCAAAAAAATTTAAACACTAAAAAGCTTGAGCATGAATGTGAAATTATATATACTACCAAAAAGTGGAAACAACCCAAATGCTCATCAACTGATGAGTGGCAGTCACACAATGGAGCATTATTCAACAACAAAAAAGGATGGGGCACTAATCCACATTATAACATGGAAGAACCTTGAAAACTTTATGCTGGGCCAGGAATTTGGCTCAGTGATTCTACTGCCTGCCTTGCAAGTGCAAGGGCCCGAGTTCAATCCCTGGTACCCACTTCCCCCGAAAAAGAAAGAAAACTTTATGCTAAGTGAAAGAAGTCAGTCACAAAAACCACATACTATACGATTCCTTTTATATAAAATGTCCAGAATAAGTAAATGTATAGAAACAGAAAATACCTTAGTGGTTGCCTAGGACTGGTAAGGTTAGGGGGGAATAGATAGTGACTTAATGGATATAAGGTTTCCTTTTAGGGTGATGAAAGTGTTCTAAAATTGACTGCAGTGATAGTTACACAACTCTAAACATACTAAAAAAATCACTGAACTGTATATTTTAAATGCATGAACTCTCAGATATGTATACAATATTGATAAAGCTGCTACTAAAAAAACAAATAAAAGCTCTAAGTCAAAACTTAGTTTTGCAGCAAGCCCCGCCCCCGCCAAAAGTTTAAAATAAATATTACATTACCATCTAGATATCTTGTTCCATAAGCACACTCTGGAAATATTCCTCTCAAATACGTGATGCAGGATACTGAAACCGCTAGGAGCCTCTTCACTAGCACCAAAGACTGCTGCTCAGTTGATATCTTACTGGGAAATATCAATGTACTCTAAAATTAAAGAGAAATTAAAATGTTTTATTTACACTTATTAAAAATAAAATTTCCACCCGGGGATTTAGCTCAGTGGTTCTACTGCCTGTCTCCCAAGGACAAGATCCCAAGTTCGATCCCTTGTACCAAAAAAAATTTCCTTGGACTTAAAGTAGATCCAATTTTGCACAGACATATTACTCTCCCAAAGAATTCTTTCCCTAGTGGTTAGTATGCCCCAGAAATGCAGAGTGGTTTGTAGAATGTGAGGATGTTTCTAAGGAGTAATAGCTTAAGGGTAATGTGCAAAAAGTGCTTAAGAACCTCCTTGAAGATAACTGTGAATGCATAAAACATGGACAGATAACACTGATTTTCTCTTTAATTACTGACCAGGTTTTTTTTGAGACAGGGTCTCAATATGTAGTTCAAACTGGCCTTGAACTCACTATGTAGGCCAGGTTGGCCTTGAACTTGCAGTGATTCCTGAGTACTGGGATTTACAGGTGTGCACCACCATGCCTGGTTTATCACTGACTAGGTTTAACACAGGCTAATTGTAATGCAAGATCCTATGTAAATACCACAATTTTATCTATCTCTGAATCATGAATGTTTTCTAATGCTGGACTGTTAAGAATAATTTCATCAGGCTGAGGGTTTAGCTCAATGGTTCCACCACCTGCCTCGCAAGTGCAAGGTCCAGAGTTTGATCCCTTGTACCAAAACAAACAAAATAAAACAAAAGAAAAAACAACACACACACACACACACACACAAAAAGAATAACTCCATCAAAGCAATGGAACAATATTAATACCTAGTGCAAATTAAAATTGGAATAGCAACTTCATGTAACATTCCAAACATCCAACAGACTTTCCTATTCATTAAGAGTTTAGCAAATACTTTTTTTCTTAAAATATGGGGTTTCTGTCGTCATTAAATAACTGACTACATCTTTCAAAAATATAATTGACACTTCAAGAAATTATAAAATCACAGATTTATATGTATTAAAAACAAGAAATCATACCATGGAAGTCCTCTGCAGCTGTGCAGTGGCCATCTTCTTAGAAAAAGTACTTTCTTTAATTCAACCTGTGACACAAATACAAGTTTTAACTTCAGATCTTTAAAAATATTGTAGTTTATTAAAGTCAGAATTTTATCTGAATACATTTGAGATTTTATTACATTTAAAATGAAATCTTCAAAAACATAGCAGTCCACACTGCTATGCCGTTATTTTGAGTAAGGAACTACTTCTCATTCATTTGGCTAAAACGTTTCATATAAATGGGTTAAGGTTTTTTTTGTGGGGTGTTGGTGATTGAACATAGATCCTCCCGCATGCTACCACGAGACTATAGCCTCTGCCTAAGCAGCTAGAAGATTCAAAAACAAACAATTTTGAAGCTAGACTCTAGCTACAAACTCCTGAGCTCAAATGATTCTCCAGCCCCAACCTTCCAATTAGCTAGTGCTATACCCAGCTTTTTAAGAAGGCACAAACTTCCTGTTTTCCTTCCCTACACAGTAACCAAGCATCCACGGCACTGAACATTATTAGGTAGTATAACGCTGTTCCTGACAAACCCTTTCAAGCCTCTTTTTTCTTTTCTCTCAGTTTTGAGAGACGTCTGGTTATGGATTCCTGGTGGGTTCAAACTAGAAGCTTCCTGCTTCGTTTTCCAGAGTAGGTGGCATTACAAGGAGCTGGAATTACAAGGGTGAAACACCCTGATACACACTTTAAAAAATCTTTGAATTTGAAAAAAGTATTCGTTTCAAAGTAGCCAAATCAAGTGACTTTCCTTCAGCAAGGTTCTAGATATAAATACCGTCTTACTCTGTGGTACAGCAATAAAAGGCAGCAGAAAATACAGTATTTCAAAATTTTATGACCTGATTTCTCTACTAAAAACTGATATATGTATAATAAAAACGGATGATGTTTCCATCTATCTGGTCCCAGTTTAATTTTCTTATCTAGTATAATCAAACTTCACAGAAGTATCTAGATATTTGGTACACTTAAATTTATGCTGATAAATACTGGACTAACCAAACTGATTAAACCCATTTTAGGAAGTTCTTGTGAAAAGCAAGTCTACTTTTTTCCTCAAATATCTTGTCAGGAAGCCCTTAGGAAAGTTAAGAGTGCTCCGGAGGCAAAAGAAAAAGAGTGAAATGTAAAAAGTAGAAATAATAACCCGAAACAAACATATATTACGTGAAGTGTGAAGCGAGCCGGTGACGAGACGCACTGCACTGCGCGCCGCACGAACTGCACTGCGAGGCACGCGCTCTGCCTGAGGCGCATGCGCCTTCCTTCAACGGACGCAGGGTCGCCTGAGGAGGGCGCACAGCAGTAGCCTTTGACCCCTAGGGCAACTTTCCCGCCAAGAGCTGCGCAAGGCATGCCGGGATGAGTGGCCAGGCCGGCGAAGTCCTGGGAAAGCCGATGCTGGAGGGGAAGTTTAAGTAATTGGAGGTGCAAAGCCTTTTCCATGTGCATTGCTTTCCTGTACTGACCACCGCATTCCCATTCAGCTTTTAATTCATCGTATCAATTTCTATTTGTTTGTTTGCTTGTTTTTTCCGGTACCGGGGATCAATTTAGGACCTTGGGCTGGCGAGGCAGGCGGTGGCAGCACTGAGCTACATCCCCCGCCCCAATCGCATCAATTTCTGCTTGTTGCTGGGCGTGGTGGCGCACTCCTGTAATCCCAGCACTCGGGAGGCTGAGGCAGGAGGATCGCTGTGAGTTCAAAACCAGCCTGGGCTACACACTGAGTTCCAGGGCAGTCTCAACTACATAGTGAAACCCTGTCTTAAAAAAAAATTCGGCTTGTTGTCTGACTTTTGATTTTGCAACCGGACCTAACAGGTGTTGCCTGCCCACCTTCCGGTCTCCTGTGTCTTCTAGAAACTAGTTGCTCTAGAGCTGTCCAGGCCCGTGGGGACAATGGATAGCTATCAAAATAATCTACATCCCATTTAGAAACAAAACCAGAATGGGTAGGTAGCTGGAGATTTTCCAGAAGTATAAGCTTACTTATGGATTGTTATATATCTAAATAAGTTGTGTCCCTAGTATAAATACATATAATTATTCATAAACTTCTATATGTCTCCTTTACAGAGGAAATGGCTACTCTAGATATAAAAAGATTTGCCTCAAATCATTCAATTAAGAGAAGAATAAGAACTATAACCCTGCTTTCGGGATAGAAAATAGTGTAGTATTTTGCTTTCTCTCACAAATGGCTTTCACATTCACTGTTATTTTTATTTTGCTTTCTACAAGAACTTTGTGGGAAACACACAGATATTACCCCTATTTTATTTCAGTTCTGGGGATTGAACCTCTGTTCCAGAGTTGAGAAAACAGACTTAGGCAAAGTTGGTTTCCCAAGACCACAACAAATTGTAGTAGTAGAGTGCTGCTAGGTTCTCTCTTTCTCTCTTCCTCTCTCTCTCAAAAAAAAAAAAAAAATATGTATGGGGCCGGGGATTTAGCTCAGTGGTTCCGCCGCCTGCCTCACAAGCTCAAGGACCTGAGTTCGATCTCCTGTACAAACAAAACAAAACAAATATGTATAGATGATCGTTTTCGTTAACTCTACAAAAAACAAAACAAACAGTTCAGTTATTAGAATCATAATAATGTAAATCCTAGGTACTGATTTCTGTATCAGTAGCTCTACTTGGAGGATGAGACGGGACTGGAGAAATGGGTGGTGTTGATGCAAGGAATCCAAAGCCTCAATTATCATAATAGTATGTCTATACACACTTGCTTCTTCTTCTTCTTCTTTTTTTTCGGTACCAGGGATCGAACTCAGGACCTCCTGCTTGCCAGGAAGGTGCTGTGCTGCTGAGCTACATTCCTGGCCCTCTACACACTTTGTAAGAGCCATTAGGTTGGATAATGGCAAAAGAAGTAGCATTGATTAAAAAATATTACTGTTTTTTACAGTATTGGATAAGAGAATAGGATATTAGGCTTTGTGAAAATATTTATTATAAAACAAACAATTCCCAGTAACAGTGTCAATCATACTGCCATCTTTAATGTGCCTCTGAGTTAGGGTTTGGGTTAGTTAACTATGGGCTATTAGGTATAAAGAGAACATAACATTCTCTCTATCTAGAAAACAGAAAATTCTTTATATTCAAGCACTGCCAAAATATACATATCTATCAACTATAGATAATTTTATGCAATTTCTCATTTGCTATTTGAAATTACCGCTACTGTGTAACATACCTTAGAATTTGCTTGTATATGCATAAGAAAGTCTAAAAAGATATACAAGAAACTGGGTGATTTACCCCGCCATCAAAACTACCACTGGGAACTGAACACAGGGCCTTCGCACTGAACCACATCCCCAGCCATTTTTTTATTTTTAATTCTGACAGTGTCTCACTAATTGCTAAGTTGTTCAGGCTAGTCTCTAACTTGCAGTCCTCCTGCCTCAGCCTCCCAGTGTGCTGAGATTATAGACATGCACCACCATTCCCTGCTTAAGTGATTACTTTTTCTTTCTTTCTTTCTTTTTTTTTGGTTTTTTGAGACAGGGTCTCACCATGTAGTTGAGACTGACCTGGAACTAACTGTGTAGCCCAGGCTGGTCTCGAACTCACAGTGATCCTCCTGCCTCAGCCTCCGAAGTGCTGGGATTACAGGCGTGCGCCACCACCCCCGGCAAGTGATTACTTTTTTTCCCCTAGTGCTGGGGATTGAACTCAGGACCTTGCACTTTTCGAGGCAGGAGGCAGCACCACTGAGCTAAATCCCCAGCCCTAAGTGGTTACTTCTAAGGAGAAGGAGCCTGAGCCTATGGGGGAAAGCAGTGAGATAGAAACATTTTACTGTTTTTTTTTTTAAGTACACACACACACACACACACACACACACGTGCAATTTTCATTCACAGATTTCAGACTTCATATTTGCGAATTTACCTCATCACTAAGTTTTCATATCCCCCAAACTAATAATCAGTACAATATGGATTTTGCAGTCATTTGCAGACATGCATAGAACAGAAAGAAACTTTGAGTGAAGGAAAAGAGAAGGAAAGAGATATAAAAAGAATTAAGATGTGTTATGTACCTGTACCATCTATCCATGACAAATAAAATCATTATGTACTACAAACATGTACTAATACAAATTAAAATTTTCCAGGACTGGTGGTGCTCGCCTGTAATCCCAGCACTTGGGAGGCTAAGGCAGGGGGACCACTGCAAGCACAAGGCCGGCCAGAACTACATAGCAAGACCCTATACCCTACACCCTATACCCCCTCCAAAACATTTTTTTTAAAGTTAAAAAAAAATGTGGTCACTACATGTTGTCACATAATTTGAGACTGAACAAAGTGACACGTTGCCTTCTTATTTTGGTTCTTGTAAAGAAATAGGGTTTGCTTGTTTGTTTTTGGTACTGGGGATTGTTTGAATGCAGGGCCTTCACAGGGAACTACATTCCCAGCCCTTCTTATTTCTTATTTATTTGAGACAGGGTCTCACTAAATTGCTGAGTTCCCTGGGCTGTGCTCAAACTTGGAATCCTTTTGCCTCAGTGCTGAAATCGGAGGCATTCACCATTGTGCTCAGATAATAAACGTCCATTTTAAGCTCTGCCACTTTTTGTGTCTTTTTGCTCTGTGTGTGTGATTTTGCTGTTTGAAATGGATGTGTTTGGGCTGTGGATTTAGCTGAGTGGTTCTGCAGCCTGCCTCGCAAGGGCATAGGTACTGAGTTTGATCTCTGGTACTACATAGTGAGACACTATCTCCAAAAAAAAAAAAAGAATAAATAAACTTTTTACTTCTGTAAATTTAAAATTGCTTATTGCTAAGAATTTTCCCATTGTTAGGCATATAACGGAGATCTTTAAATATTTCATTATTCTACTCATTAGTTCAGGTGTACTTTACCTGGGATTCATACTCCCAACGGCTCTATAAATTGAATTCGGGGAATTTGTACATGGAAAAACATCATATTTTTATTTTCATATTAATGAAAGGTAAGGAAGATGTATTTCCTAGCTATCCTAGGTTCACGGCTGGGATTTCTACAACAAAAGAAAGATTAACAAAAGAAATGAATGCAAATGTATTTAACAAACATTTTACCTGACAAAGAAGGTTTCATAAGGAAATGAAGACCTGGAGAGAACAGTTAAAAGGCAGTGCTTTTAGAATGGTTTTGATGAAGAGTGGACCCATCCATAACCTCTCACTGAAAGCCTTTTCTTTAACTCTGAACATAGTCCATAAACTAGTGATGTTAGCAATAGTTGTGGTCTGTTTTGTTTTTGTACTAGAGGTTTGAACTCAGGGATGCTCTACTACTGAGCTGCGTGCCGAGCACTTTAAAACAGCTTTTTTTTTTTTTTTTTAAATTTTGAGACAGGGTCTGACTAGTTGCCCAGGCTCACCTCAAACTTGCCATCTTTCTTCCTCAGCCTCCTGTGTGCTGTGATTACATGCACTTGTCACATGCACTTGTCATTGGAGCCAGGGGCTCCATTATTGAAAGAAAATCTAGATATTTCATATCACTTTATAATAGTTGTAGTTTTCAAGTACCGTGTTCATCACTACTTCAAATTTAGGATGGTTGCTAACTCTTGTTATTCAACACATTTATTTGTTTGTTTATTTTTTGGGGTACCAGGGATCCAACTCAGGCCCTTGTGCTTGCGAGGCAGGTGAGAGAACCACTGAGCTAAATCCCCGGCCCCTATAATAGAATATTTTAAAAGAAATGTAGTTTATTTAGGTTGACGATTGCCCAAAAAAGGCCCTGGTCAACTTGATCATTAGGTGAAAGTAATTTAAAGTAGTATATGAAAGTGTTGATTATTAAAATAATTCTTCAAGGGCTAGGGGTGTAGCTTAGTTTGGAGTACTTACCTAGTATGCAGAAGACCTTGGGATTGATTCCCAGCAGTGCAGAGATAAATAAAAATAATAATTCTCCCAAAGTGTTTGAAAACTGCTTAACTTCTTAGCATGTGTATATTGTACTTTAACAAGATTTAATTTTAAAACATTTATTGAATCCTTTTATGAGTGATGATGCAATACACACCTTCCAGGCATTTATAACCTAATATTTTCCATCAGTTTCCATAACCCATTACTAGTGAACCACAACTAACATTTTCACGAGAAGGTCTAATAGTTACCAAAGAAAAGAATAACTTGAAAAGAATATGAGGCAGTGTTAGAAATTTGAGATGACAGATTTATTGAGCTCTGTTGGGCTGTGAAATGACAAAAGGCTATTGGAAGACTTACAGAGCATTAAAAAAAAAAGACGAACATGACAAATAGGCCTCAGTGACTTAATTCTCACATGTACATACATATGAGACTACATTCTCATACAGTACAATATTAATTTACTTTGCAAACTTTTCTAGAGATATGCAACGTTATGAAGTGAAAAGGCAAACTATATTTTGTAATTAGTATGATAAATATACACCGATCATGACACTTGTTTCTTCTGGATACGAAGATAAAATTAAGAGAGAGTTTTTCATCTCCTTGACTTGTTATAAAACGAAGAGATCCTCTAGATTTCTGGGTAAGAGCAATAACTAGCGATCCCACAAAGATTTCCATGATTTCTTGCCATCAGAATATAACCTTTATCACCATAGTAGAGACCCCAGCTGTAGAAAAAGAAATAACACAAAATTAGAAGCAAGTAGAATCAAATAATAGTATTATATTTTTATTTTTATTCTATTTCTCCTAAAGTCACTATATATGCAAAGCTATAAAACATAATTCGAATTAAATATGATAATTTCCTCAGGAATTTTAGGTCATTTTCAATTTCCAAAAGATAGTTTGGAAGGCTTTAGTTCTAAGTTGTTGAGTAGGCTTCACGCTGAAGGGGAACAATATCAACGCCATCACAGCCCTTCAGTTAGCTTACTTTGTAACCATGTCTTCTACAGGAAAAGAGTTTATACTTTGTGGGGCCCCATCTCCAAATGTTTTTGTATAATAGGATTGTGGATGATGATTTTCTAAAGGACTTAAATTTCTTCAGAGAATGTTCTTAAATTTTTATGAGTGACTACTATGAACATATATCATAGGGCAAGGAATTCTAAAGTAAAGGATAAATAGCGCAGTTGTAAAAGAGCTTTCTGATCTGGAAGTGGGTAAGACTTTCTTCTCTGCCGGGTGTGGTGGCGCACGCCTGTAATCCCAGCACTGGGGAGGCTGAGGCAGGAGGATCACTGTGAGTTCGAGACCAGCCTGGGCTACATAGTGAGTTCCAGGTCAGTCTCCACTACATAGTGAGACCCTGTCTCAAAAAACCAAACCAAAACAAAGAAACAAACAAAAAATACTGAGATCCAGTGTCTATATGACATTTTGGTTGAATAGGAAAAAGGTATTTTCATTAGCCAAAGGATTCAGAGATTTTTCTGGAATAGATAATGCCTGAGCTGCTTTTGAAAGAAAAAGAGGAATAAACCAAATGAGAAGAAGGAACATATAACTAAGATATTAAGATACAGGTAAAATAGTATGGATGGGAATAATAACTATGTATATCCGTACTTTTAACTATATTTATAGATCAACATAACTGGAATGACAAGTATGAAACAATAAATACCAAGAGTTGAAGCTGCCAAAGCAGGCAAAGACTACAACATAGAATTGTTTGCTCTATTAGGAAACATTAATTTGGGGTTAATGATATAAAATAGAAGAATTATAACCCCAGAATCATTCATATACA